TCTCACTATGTATGTTTTATCCAATTCCATTTCTTTTTCTTTGTCATTGGCCACAGAATTTGTGGAATCAGATTCCATTTTAGACACACACAAAACACATTCGACAAATATAAATAAATCACTTGAATTGATCGCAGTCACCGAGCCGTTGTTATGCGTTGACAGCTCATTTATATGTTCATTTGACACTTGGTTTCAAATTGGTAAACAAATGGGACAACTTTCGTAAAGTTGTCCCAAAATATGGATGGATTGTTATATTGTCCAAAAATTAGCCATCTATTGGAAATTTTTGGTATCTGTGTGCATGGTGTGGAAAATAATAGCCATTTTCTATGTCTACATCTTCGCATTCAACCATATGACCCATTTCGATATATTCTCTCATAAAGGCTATGAGAGAGTCACAATGAATCTTCTTTCTTCGTTTCTTACCGTATTTTCTTCGTAGTGTGATAAACAATATGTTTCTTCCTCAGAAAGCATGCTTTGCTCACCTATTTCCGCACTTTCCCAGAATTTTTTCATGTTTTCATTTAATTCTTCGATTGTGGTGATGAGACTTACCGTGGTTGAATCCGCGTTCGATGCTCTCTCGATGACGCCTGAAAGAATCCATCCTAGTTGTGTTTCTTGAGCGACCAGCTCCATTGATTCTGCCTTAATTACTCCTTGAAGTAGAATTGCTGCAAAGACATCAGCTCCCAAAATTGCGTCAATTTTGAATACCTTGTTCAAATCAGGATCGGCTAAAACTAGTTCGCCAAATTCATGACACTGTTCAATTTTTGCTTTAGCCTGTGCAATCGGTGCTAACGACGTTAACTTACCTAAGATAATTGCTCTGGTTCTTCCCACGAAGCTTGTCGGGTATCGAGCTGTAAATTCAATGTCAACACTTCCCAATGATTTTTCTGTCCTTATTCCTCCGATTCCGGACACCGAAATATCGTTTTTCATTCGATTCAAATTTAAATCCTTCACGATCTTTTCTGTTAAAAATGTGGCCATCGAGCCTTGATCAATCAGGGCGCATATTTCTTCTGACCATCCATTTGCTGTCTTCAATCGAATTTGTGCTGTAGCCAATAATACCTTGGATCCTTTCTGTTGTTTTGATGCGATGCATGATACAGTTTCTTCATCGGATTCGTCGGCTACGCATACAAACGATTTCTTCTGCGGTGGTTTTCCTTTTGAATTATTTCCGGAAACTGATGGTTTTGGTTTTGAATCTGTTGACTCTGCTTTGGATATGTGTAGTAAAGTGTTGTGCCGTCTCTCACACTCCTTACATTTTAGATTTTTTCGTGCAGAATTTGAAAACAATGAAAAATGATGTGTGCGTTTACGCTTATGCACTATGCTAGCTGTGGTTGTACAACTCATTCACTCGCTATTATTTTTGTTGGCTTTGAGAATTTCGTACTTTGGGAGTTTTTTTTTTGGGAATTTCGTTTTGGGAATTTCGTCTTTGGGATTTTTTTTTTTGGGAATTTTGGATCGGGAATTTTTTTTGGGAATTTTGTTTTGGGAATTTTGGATTGGGAATTTTGTTTCGGGAATTTTGTCTTTGGTTTTTTTTTTGGGAATTTTGTCTTTGGGATTTTTTTTTTTGGGAATTTTGTTTTGGGAATTTTGTTGATTGGGAATTTTTTTTTTGGGAATTTAATCCCAGAACCCATTCCAACAAGGGTTGGACATTTTGCAAAACTTTCTGCACTCAGTTATAAGGTGATATGTGGGGAAAATTTTGCGAAATGTCCAACCCTGGTTGGAATTCGCTCGTTTACAACTTCATGTTGGTGATTCTGACAACCTCATTTCGCTCAGTGTAGCAATGCGACCTTAAGCCATGGGGCCAGATCGAAAAGCAAGCGGAAAATATCATGCAACTCAATGTGATGGAGATATTTCCAAGTCTACGAAAAGAGTTAGAAAAGTTGGAGTACAACGCTATTAGTTAGATTAGTACTTCTATTCAGTATTATTTGAATTAATTTTCTTAAAGAGAAGAAAAGAGAAATGATGTATGTACGTTAAGGTGTTCAGCTAATCTGAAAAAAAGAATGAATAGCATAAATTTAAAGAGAAGCCAATTTTATGTCAACTGGTAGCATTAATAGAGCGTTATACAACACTTCCAGAAGAAAAAAACTCTTTGCAAAATCGAATAATGCTTACCTAAACGACCCACTAGAGTACTTCTGCGCAGTTAACATCAACCAGATGGGGAGTCAAGTTGCTGCTACGCAACTATCCCACATGATCGGGATAGCCTTTAATAACTAATGTTACATTTGTTTGTTTTTGTTTGCGTTGTGCTGATTAGACAGCATGATCAGCTGGCTGCTGGTCGTACTCGAACATTTCTACATCATTATGCACGATGGCGACAGCAGCAGCGGATGCTTCAGCGGCAACAGCAGCAGCGGCTGCTTCAACAGCTTCGCGCCAATACCTTTTGATCGCCTCCGGTGTCGGAAGTCCCAGTAATGTCCATAGTCCTGAACAATTAAACAAATGAACCTTCTTAAAAAATCATTCAATCGAAATTGTGCGTCAATTAGCCTTACCTTTCAGTAGAATGTTCTTAGCAGCCACGACGTCACGATGCCAAATCACAGAGCATTCGAGGTTTAATTGCCAGTTTTTGTAGTAACATTTTACTTTTGGGAATAAACACTCGTCTTCTTCCGATGCTTTTTCGTTCATGGCGCGTTGTAACTGTCGGTAAATCGATAGATCCGTTTTGCCCAACTTTGACACAATTTTCGTTGGCAGCAATGTTTTGGCGTCGGGTACGCATCGGCATTTCTTGAATCTGGCCGCTTTGTTCTGGTTTTCGAATCGATGCATACATCTTGCGTCTGTTTGAGATGTTCCCCATTCGTCCACCAATTGCATGAAACAATTTCGGCGCTTCTTTATTGACCTCAAAGTCAAACGAACCCCTGGGCACGTGCTTCTTGATACTTATTGGGCTATCAGGTGGTATTTCGCCATCAGCACCAAACAAGAACAGAGTCGGTTTCTTATCGGTAACCTTATTCACCCATTTGTCGACAACACTACTGCTTTTGATGTGTTTGTCCAAGGCGAGTCGATTGTATTTGGCAGTCGAGTAAGCGCAGATTCCATGTTATGGTGGCTTATTATTTATTGGCTTCGGTTTTGGTGGCTTATTGTTATGCCATAGCACTTGTTCAAAGCAGAGTTTGATCTTATCTTCTCCACTTCCACCAAACAATGCGAAATTATTGTTCTCGACGCCTATATTCGAACGCCTTTTGCACCTCAAACAAGAACAGCAATAGGCCCAAAACACAAATGGAAGTGGCTTGCAAACTCAGATCCGTCATTTTGCTCATCAATGCTTGCTGGTATTGTGGGCGAATGATTGTCTTTAGCGCACATTTGATCGTCGTAATTTCTTCGTCCTTCGTTTCTCCCTTCGCTGGAATGGATGGCTTCAAACGATTCGCCATTTTCCTACTGAAAGAAAAAAAAACACACATTCGATTTAGTTTGAAAACGAATTCAAAGTTCAATTTGTTTGAACGACAACAGAATGAGACACACAAAAATGACAAAAGGCTTCGGTTTGACAACAATGGCAGTGATTCAATTTTAGCTCGAACAGTGAGCGATTAACTGTTTCTCTTCTCCGAACAATGGAACCAATTCATTGCTTAAAATGAATTTCACCATCACACTTAACAAAATTATGTACTGCAGAATTATTGTGAAATTCATTACTTTTGTACATGGAATCTAATATTACTGTTGATATGTTCAATATATTTCACGTTATAAATGGCTTATATTACGTTTTTAAAATGAATTCCACAACGAGAAGAAGAGATTGAAATGATCAAGTTTACTTACACTTTGGCGACTTGAATTCAATGTGAACTCCGGATCAAATCGAAAATAATACGAAATACCAGCAAAATTGTAGATAAATTAAAGTTACACTGCTCACTCCAGTTTAAATTGTTATAAAATGTACGAGTTATTTGTTCACTTGGTGTTCACTTGTGCTTCAACACTAGATGCGCTCTCGGTTTGAATGATGCGTCGATTGTGACATTCCGAAAACCGCTGAAGTGAATGTCAAATGACATAAGGATCGGTTCACATTGCCAATTTTTAGAACATTAGACAATTTGAGCTACAAAGAGTCAATTAGTACTAACACATAAAAACGGCTATATTTCGGTGAAATTCCAAATTTATTAGCAATGAAGGACGATTTATTGTTTGATTCTGATTTTTTGGGCCGAAATCTACGTAGAAATCATATATTCTTATTTGACTCCCCAAACCTGAACACCCTGTCCATCCATCCAACTGTGGACTCTTTTTGAATGGATGGATGGATG